GTGATATTTACTGATGAAAAACGTTTTAAGTTCGATGGACCTGACGAGTGGTGTACATTGTCAAGAAAAGGTGAACCTGTTATTCTCAACAAGAGAGAGATGGGTGGAGGAGGAGTCATGGTTTGGGGTATAGTATTTCCGAATGGAAACTTGTGGTTAAAAGGACGTCAAAGTAGCTTGAGCTACAGAGAACTTTTGGAAAAGAGAGCCCTACCACTCATAGAAAAAGAAATGGGAAGTAATTTTATTTTGCAGCAAGATAACTGAAGCATCCATGTGGCCAAATCAGTGAAAAATTTGATGTGTGAAGCAAATATAACTACTCTGGAATGGGCTGCAAGAAGTCCAGACTTAAATTTAATTGAAAACATATGGGAAATGCTTGCAGAGCTTGTTTACGATGGGCCAGAAATAACCAGAGAGGCTGAACTGTGGCAGCGCATACAGAATGCTAAAAATAGACTGCTAGAAACATGAAGAGATGTTATTATCAATATGTACAAATATTATGAAGATAGACTGATAGAAGTCATTGAAAAAAAGGGTGCTGCCATAAACTATTAGCATTGTTTTTGCAATGTCCGAAAAATACTGTCGCCTGTGTAATGTGAAAATTTGTAAAAAAATAAAAATATTTCTAATTTGAATTCTGCTTTTCCATTTGTAGTATTGAAACAGTTTTCAAATGTTATTGCCATTACACTAAAACAGTACAGACTGCCTGTGCTACCTAACACTTGAAAAAATAAAGTGTCTGAAAAATAGTATCGGCCACCTGTAGTTTTGACTTCTAAGTTCAAATTATTGAAATCAAGAACATCATTTTAAAACTTGATAAGCATTCTTTTATCCAAGGCACACATATAGACATTACAAATGGAAGCTACTCTGTCAGAAAATGTTATAGAAAAGATCTGTTCAGTTATTAAAAGACTGAAACATTCTCCTGGCATTCCATTTTCCTTTGTTATATTAGCTCTGGTAAAAAATAAAATTCTGTCAGTTTTGATGTTTAGTTTCTGCTTGGTCTATTTGCCTGTCCGTTTTCAAAAGACAAATATTGATGAGATTAACAGTTTGAACAAATTCCATTAGTTTCACAAGGAAGATTTTTCAAATATTTAAGTTGTGAACTTTGAAAGTTTTGCTAATGTAGAACTTTGTGATTATGTTGCAATATATACAAGATTACTTTAAAGTTCCTGTCAAAGGGGCATAAAGCAGTTTTTGCTTATCCTTTAAGCATTTCAAGAATAAAAGAGAATTGAATGGAAAAAGATAATTCTGCTTTCCATGAACTAAGAATGTATTTATTCTGTTAATGGCAAATTTCAGCACCACATTCTTTAGATTAGCTTGTAAGGAAATTACAAGATCAACTTTTCAATTCATATTCTTTTTACTATATCTGTTCAAATGGAAAATGTACCTTAGAAATTTAGCTTATGAGCAATTTGTATGTTTCCTATTTGCTGTATTACCTGAAAGGTAGCCATTAAAGTGACCCTTACCTGAGAGTAATTGTTAAGGTGAATGTAACTTTTGAAGACTTTGTCTGATAAATCCAATTTAAAATATTGTATGAAACATTTAGTTGATAAGAAAAATCCTGTCATCTACACCATTAACTGCATATGTGAAGATATACATAATCAGTCATTGGTGTATGTGAACTCAGAAATTGAATTAAAGAACTGAGGACAGAAAGTGCAACACTGAAATCTGAAGGTACATTGTGATAGCAACAGATGCCTTCCAGAATCTAAGCAAAGTATTATGAAAGGAAAATTTTGTTAGAATCAAAGAAGATTACTGAAGTGTTATAGCAGTGTATGCTGGACCATCTCCTCAAAGATGAAGAATAAACTTGAGATGATAGTAATGTGGTTCTACAGAAGGATACTGAGAACACTATGAGCTGAACATGTAAACAATGAAAAAATTTCTAGGCTTCATAATGAGGAAAGAGGGCTTGGAAAATTTGATACTCACAGGACAGATTGAAGGCAAGAGGAACAGAGGAAAACAATACATAACATACCTACCGAACTTGAGTAAATGGATGGCAGAACAAGGTTTAGGGGAGATAGCAAAAAGACAAAATTTATTAAGAGCTACATTGACAGGAAATTGTGAAGAGCCATGATCATTTAAATTCTGAAGGGACACGGAGCATAGAAGAAGAATGAGCTTGAGTAAATGGATGGCAGAACAAGGTTTAGGAGTAATAGCAAAAAGACAAAATTTATTAAGAGCTACATTGACAGGAAATTGTGGAGAGCCATGATCATTTAAATTCTGAAGGGACATGGAACATAGAAGAAGAATGAGCTTGAGTAAATGGATGGCAGAACAAGGTTTAGGGGAGATAGCAAAAAGACAAAATTTATTAAGAGCTACAAACGACAGGAAATTGGGAAGAGTGATGATTGCCTACATTCTGAAGGAATACAGCATATAAAAGAAGTTTATCCTTTTGCTAGATAACAAACTTTACAACTTGGTATAGAGCTTCGAAAGTTCTGCAGTTATTGTGTGGGTTTATTTATCCAGGTGTGTATTCCTAGGGTATCAATAACTGAATTGAAATTGAAGGAAATTTAATGAAGTCTGTAAATGAAAAAATGATTCAATCAAAGAAAGATTGAATAAAATGTTTGTCAGTCATCTTTAATAAAACTTGTGTGTGTGTGTATATATATATATATATATATATATATATATATATATATATATATATTTTGTTTAGTTGGATTGATGTGAGTTTGGTTTTTAGGTTAGCTCTATCTCTGATAGTGCTTTCTAATAAGTACCTCTTTTATATAATATATAAATATATATATATATATATACATACACACTTTTCACACACACACACACACACACACACATATATATATATATATATATATATATATATATATATGTGTGTGTATGTATAGCTGGCCATTCATATTCAAGGATACTCGTCTATTAGGGCATTAAGCCAATCCCTATTGCAGACTCTTGCTCAGGCACATTTGTGTTTATTCAACACCTACAGAGTCCACCTGTGGTTTATACTGCAACTATGTTGAGCAGAACTTAGTTACAGTTTCTGGGAAAGAGCATGTTATCTAGCATGATTAACAATTTTGAACAAGGACAGCATGCACAAACCTTTGGTCATGATGACATGTGATGTTGTGCTTGCACAGCAATCAATGGCCCCCAAGGGTTCCATCTACCCAATTTCATTCATAAGGCTTGGGTCAACCCATGGTATAGTTTTCAGGCACTTTCCAAAGGCGCTGCACACTGGAATCAACCCCCTCCAATCCAATAACATCAGGAAGTCGCTTTCCTGACAAATCAACCCTGGTGAGATTCGAACCCGAAGGCAAAGAAACAAATATATAAAAAAACATTTCCATAAAAGGGAAAGAAAGAAGAGAGCAGATTAAAGTAATTAAAAAAAAAAAAAAAAAAAAATGGTTGTAAAAAAACTTGACTGGAAGTAAGGTTGATAAACTTAGAAAATAAAGTATTTAAATCTTTTAATCTTAGCGTAATAATTAATTCCAATATCAAACAAGTTGATTTCCTAAATGTAACTTTAAATTTAGCTCTTAATAATTTTCAGCCTTACATGAAAAACAATGCCAACCTGATTTATATCCACCCTAACACCCATCATCCATCATCTGTAATTCAACATATGCCATCATCTGTTGAATGACGTATTAACCAACACTCGTCTAACAAAGAAATATTCAAGAAACATAAAACTGTTTATAATAAAGATCTTAGTGATAGTGGGTTCAGATCTTCTGAAATTAAGTTTGTTGAAGATTATGGTTGTTCCAGAAAGAAAGACAGAAACAGGAAGATCATATAGTATATACCTCCATTCAGTCAATTAGTTTTTACTAAGTTGGGACACAAGTTTCTAAACTTAATTAATAAATATTTTCTAAAAGTAATTCATTAAGTTATACTAATAATCTAGAGAAAATAATTAAATCACATAACAATAAAACATTGAAATTATATAACAATAATAACTGTAATAATGCTAGTACTGATTCTAATTTGACTTGTATAACTAACCTATGTAATTGTAGGAATCCTGACCAATGTCCTTTATCTAACAAGTGTTTAATGAAATACCTTGTGTATTGGCTTATAATTAATTTACTGGTGATATTGTTACTAGTTTTTAATTTAAAATAAATATACAAAAGTCATATAAATATTTAAAATTTATTTTGTATTCTAATTTATAATGTAAGGTTGGTATAGTTAAGTAGTTGTTTTGTTTGTATCTGGTTTTTCTTCTTAAAGTGTCTTTTATTTACATACTATGTTTAATTTTGTTTAAATATGGGATTTCATTCAAAATTCCATAAAGTTTGAAATGCTACAATGTATCTAAAATATGTTCTATCTTGCGTTATATTTCCATTTAATTTTGAATTTTCCATCTTAATGTGTCTTCATTGGCTAAACTGGTATCAACAACTCCTCATGTATTATTTTCTTCTCTTTTCTTTTCCTTCATATCTGTAAAATTTGGTTATACCCTTCTCCTTTTTCTTTTCTTCTCTTTCTCTGTAGTAGGGTTTATTTCTTCTGATTTCTTATGCCTTTCTTTTCTTTCCTCTTTCTATTTCTTTTTATTGATTTCTTATTCTCTTCCTTTTTTTTACTTTAATATATATATATATATAAATAATCCCTCACTGGTAGCACGGTATATATATATATATATATATATATATATTGGAATAATGTTTTGATACCACAAAACAAATATAATGATTTGAAAAAATGAATTTCTTTTTGTATGATCATTTTTTTTTTTTTTTTTTTTTTTCCTGCAAAAAAAAAAAAATGATCATACTAAAGAAATTCATTTTCTTTAAATCATATATATATATATATATATATATTCATGCACATACATACTCGTCATAGATGTGAGTAAAAGTTAAAATTAAATTTCTGTTGTTATTTTTCAGCTCAGATTGAATTAGTGAATGATAAACCATTTCTTGATGTTCTTACTTCCTTTGGTGGTTGGCCAATTGTTGATCAAGGCTGGAAAGATGATCAATTCAACACTGAGGTTGCCCTTGCGAGAATGTACAGAGAATTTCACACGTCAGTTATTCTGCATTTTACTGTCAGTGCAGATGATAAAAATTCTAGTGTCAACATCATTCAGGTAAGAACTTCTTTCTATTGGATATAACTTTGATTTCACTAATGCCACTCTAATTACAAAATAACATAATTCTTTAAGGAGAAAATGCATTGAATACTTAATAACATTATTACCAACTATAAGAACATGCATAAAATATTACATTACATCTCCATTTTTCTTTGAATCCATTCTCAAAGAATCTAACTTGCATCTATTTAATACAAAGAGTACATTCTTAAAGAAGCAATCCAAAAATTAGAATCTTGTGACTCCCTGCTGCACAGGTTGACTGCACAAAGATGAAGACATCAGAACTAACTTCCATTAGACAGACATGCATACACAATTATGAATACACATTACCATCCAATGTCCACTTAGACATACAAGAATCTTGACACTTACATAAACATAGAATTATCTACGGCTTTAGTACATGTGACACGCATATAACCAATGACAACTGACCCAAACATATTGAAAAATATCAGTTTTTCCGTCTCTTTGTCTGTTTTCTCTGAATCTTTATCAAAGCTTTAATAAAAGCGGGACATATTAGATTGATATATGTTTCCTATTTATTCTTTATTTTATCATCCTGTTGGAATCAATCCATATTTGATCTCCATCTTTAATTTTATATATATATAATGGCCATCTTCTTTCATATTTTGAGCACAATTTGTCTGCTAGGGTGTCTAGCTAATTCTTGTTGCAGGTGCTTGCTCAGGCACATTCAGGCTATGCAGTTTATACTCCAACTATACTGAGTGGACCTTAGTCACAATTTCTGGGAGAAAATGCATAGTTTGTCATGATCAGCAATTTGAACAATGCCTGATCACAATGACTTGTGGCTTCATGCTAATACAACCATCGATGGCTAGAGATATATGTGTGTGTGTTTTGTGTATATAGACTCTTTCGTATTGAGCACTGTTCCCCCATAAATAGATGGAAACTAATATTGGAAGGATGCTGCTGATTTGCACTGTGTAAAAATGTCTATGCTTCTGAGTGGGAGTTATTCCGATAAAACTTCAAAGTCTTCAGCTGTTCTTGTGATTCATTAGCTCTTAAATCTGTGCACACAATGCACCTGTGCTTTAGATTATGTTATGAAAATGTTATGAAAGATGTCCAGTAAAACCAGGAGTCAAGGTATGGAGGTACAGCATATACTACTTAGTTTAATTAGGATTGTTTAAATAGAATCATATTACTGCACAGGTTGATGCTGCTCCAATATTGCTAACAATAGTCAAATTAAGGTTCCTACATCTGTAGACCAGGTTCTGGATGGCCATGTAGTATAAAATCTCAGATAGATCAATACATTATAAGGGCAACTGATGCAGAAGTTTATTTTTTCACCACTCACTCATATATATATATATATATATATATATATATATATATGATAAAACATAGTTTTAAGGTCTATAAAAGTGGACATTGAAGTCAACACTCAAAGGCAGCAGTTTGTTTCAAGCAATTGTCAGGCTATGATGATTACGTTTAGCATGAAATTGAAAATGAAATTTGACTATGTGTACTTGGGCAATAGTTTTTCATTAGCATAAAAAGGTAAGAGGAATGAAAACTCACCAGAACAGATCCAGGGCCTTCTCACTCCTTGGGAGAACCCTTCCTGATCGACCATGTCAACAGTAGTGTATGTATACTTATCACACTTGGTCAATTACAGGTTGGTGAGGTTAGCCCATAGTTAGATGTTTTGAATTTAGAGTTGTACTTCTCCATGTCTATGAGACCCAGTCTGTCCTGCTATTTACCCATAGCTGGTGGGAGAAAAGATCGATTGATACCTTTCCTAAGTGTATCTTCACATAAGTGAATGTAACAGATGCACCTGGAATTGAAACTCAGCTCCCCAATTCCTCAATCTGAGCCACTATCCATTACTCCACCGTGTCTCCATCTATTCACATCATTAACATATGTTGGATTAAAAACCAAAGACAATAAACTTGTAGATTTTTAAAATATTAACTCTTATTACAACTTTAAAACGAACATTTTCAAAAGGTATATAATAATATATTAATACATATCTTGCACATTTACAAATCTAACATTGTCCATGCATTGAATTCTGTGGCCATATCTGGTCTTGTTCTATTTCTATACATCTTGAGATTCTTGACAAAATCCAGAACGGTCTGCAATATAATCGATCCTGACCAGACATCTAGTTTCCAGTCACTTTCTCACTGATATGACGGCTTTTTGTCTGCCTGTACTACAAATATTTTCATGCTAACTTCTCAGATGATCTTTTTTTTTCCTGCTGCCCAGACTACATGAATTTAAGCATGCTACTAGATTGGCAACTAGGTCTCACCATTTTAATGTTGAACTAGCTATAAATGCAACCATCATTTCTACTGTAACAATTTTTTTCTCCTACTTCTCACCCATGGAACAAACTTCAAAAATTTAAATGCAACATCAATCGCCATCTTTTTTCTTCACATTCATCTTTTTCTCCTTTCCTCAATCCTCCCTATTTTCAGTCTTCACTTTCAATTTGCCTACTTCTAACCCCCTGCATACTAATAGCATTTCTACCTTGCTTGGGGTGAAATGATTACAAAAAAGAGGAAAAAAAATATATATTAAGACAATGATTAGCTTCTTTTTTGTTATTATTTTTTTCATAATTATTTGGCTCACCATTTTATAGTATATATATATATATATATTTTTCTTGCCTCTTCGTATACTTGTTTTAATGTATTTGTATGTGAGAATATGATATATCAATTTTTATTTATCATATCACACCCAGATTACATACCCAGATATATCTTGAAAAAGAAAAAGGAAAAAATTAAATTAAAATTTTAAATTCAAAAGTTTAAAATTTCAGCGTTCCATCATTTTCCGCATTTCTTGTTTGTGCATAATTATAACCAGCACTCGCATTTTTATATTCCCCTCCCCTCCATATACATATATAATTCCATCAACAAAAAACTTTATTTAAGTTTGAAATCCTAAAGAAAGAAATACATCGCAAAACAAATTGTTTCTACTCTATTGTTAATGTACTTAATATTTATATATGTTATATATTAAGGTCTACCTTTTTTTTTTAAATATGCCTGCTTTTAAAAGCTTTCATAAAATACCATATTCCCCAAATTATTTAATATTGTCCAACAGTATACATGTCTGGATTCAATGTAAGCATTGTCTGCTAATGTTGATAATAGCCGATATTGTAATTATGTTGCTAATGTTGATAATAGCCCATATTATGGTTGAAAATGCAAGATCCCAATTGTTTGGGTAATATACATGTGAACTTCTGCAAATATTTGTAAATATAGACATTTTACTCATATATATCCATCCAAATGAGAGAAAGAACAGATGGAGTAAAAATACACTACCTGTGGCATTTACTTTTTAAAAAGTGCTCAATACAAAGTAGAGCAATATATTATTATCATGTTTTTATTATAAGATATTATAATAAAAACATTTTAAAATCGCTACATGAAATCTTTCATGTTTCAATACAGTACTGAAACATGAAAGCTTCTGTGTAGTGATTTCAAAATGTGTTTATTATAATCTCTTATAATAAAAATATAATAATAATATACACACACAAACATAACATTTCTCACTGGTAGTGCGACTCGGGGTTCTATGCACAGCGCAATCTTCAGGTACTGGGTTGAGACTGACAATAATATAATTTAAATTTTAATAAAAAATATCTGGTTAACGCAGTGCTAGTGCACTCCATATGTTATATGGGGATTAGTTTTTTTTTGTTTTTTTTTAAATAATTATTTATTTATATTTTATATTTAAAAGAAGCAGTGATTAATGGTTTTCATTTATATTTAAAATAAATGGGGATTAATGATATTAAAAAATATATATCAAAATAAATGCACCTAAAACTATAAAAAAAACAATTTTTTTTATTTAGAATGGACGAGATTTATATATTATATTTAACATAAGTGGAAATTACTGTTTTTATTTTATATGTAACCATATATTTTTATTCAAATTTAAATTATATAACAGTCAGCACCTGAAGATTGTGTTGGGTATGAGACTCTGAGTTGTGCTACTGGTGAGGGATAACATGTATATTTATTAATATAAACTAAAATATAAGCTCTGTTATATTACATCGAGCACTATTTTACGAACGCCATCACTCTACGGACGATATCTTATATTCATAGATATTATCTATACAAAAAAGGGAAATGGAGGATAAATGCTTAAGAATGGGAAGTTAGTTATTCTTGAAAGAATATAATTTTAATTATTTATCAGTCTTTGAGCCATTATTTTGGAATATTTCTTTTTCACAGATATTCTAGGACATCTCCTACAAACATGTATGCCCCCTCCCTCCAAATCACCTGCTCAAAAAGTAACATCTTCAATTAAGAGACTGAACTCTTTTGTGGAAGAATTTATGAGTATAGCATGAACTTATGCTGTTGGAAATTTTAACCATATTTGGAAAGATTTGCTCAGTCCTGGAGATTGTTCTCTCTCTCTCTCTCTCTCTCTCTCTCATACACATCTACTTTCTCTTTCTGTAGGTTACTGTTTTTCTCTCACTCTCTATAGAGTGAATTAATTTTATTATTATTTATTATAATTTTGTTATTTTATTAATGTATCTTTGGAGATAGAAAATGGAAGTTCAGTATTACATGAAATCGGGCATGACTGATTATGTTTAGTCATCAACTCCTGTGGAATGAAGTAAAAATACTGTACATGAAGGAACACTGGACAGTCAGAAATCTGAAAGTATCAGCACATATGCTAGGCTATGAGGACTTCATTAGTAGGCCTAGCATAGCAACATATTATGATATGAATGCTGTTAATTAAGAAAGATAAATGATAACAAGGCTTCAGCAGCTGTAAGAAAAAGATAAAGAAAAGCTATGTGAATGCAGTCAGGTGTAACAAGTAGTAACAGCATCATTCTTCAACAGGTAGGTTAGGTTTAAGCCTCCAAGTTTTCCACTTGGAATTGTCCCATGAGACAATAGCCTAGTGGATTAAACCATTGGTTCATGAATTTGGTGATATAGTAGTCGTGAGTTCAAATGCAAGCAATAACTGAGCAGGACTAAATAAGATCAAGGTATATCTTTAGACACAGACAGTGGAACAAGAACAGTCTATCCCCACAGATTAAATAAAGGGTTAAGTTTGAAATCCACTGAAGGTTACCTGGATTGATACCATCTGATGAAGGCTGGAGAGTACAATGGTCAAAACATTGTGACAATAATAAAAAGGATGAGGATAATAGTCCACATATAAATAATGTAAATAATTCAATATTACAATTTTTGATTTTGTTGGGTTTTTACAATAAAAAATGAATAACATATACAGGTAAAAAGATTTAAAAATGACTAAACTTTGCAAAATATTTACACTATTTACATTGTTTTGACTGTTGTCTTCATCTATGTTTCAATATTCACAATGTTTCAGCTGTTGTATGCTCTGGTCTTCTTCAGGTGATTGGATCTTTGAAGTGAACCCATTATTTCTTCCACCAGGGTAGATTGTTCTAGTTCCATGGATAACTAAGACTGTTGAAAGAGGCATGGCACATGGAACTAGAACAATCTACCCTGGTGGACGAAATAAAGGGTTCAATTTAAAGATCCAATCACCTGAAGAAGGTCAGAGCTTACAATGGCCAAAATGTTGTGAATATGGCAAAAAAGATGAGGACAACAAGTCAAACAATGTAAATAAGGTAAATAATTACAATACCTCATCTAAAAAATATAAACAGATTTTGCAAAATATATTTTATTTTTTATATCTTATCTTATCTTACTTATTATAAAACGCAGGTTGTTGTGTGTGTGTGTGTGTGTGTGTGTCTGTAACGTTTATATGTTGGATCAATTTCCTACATTTTTTAGCGATTTCAATAAAACTTCACAGGACTACATAAAATTACCTTTTGGTGGTTCTAACAGCGTCGAAAATGGGAAAAACACAGTTGTTTTTTAAGAAAATCAATTTGAAAACACGATTAAGACACATCGTGAGAATGAAAGGGGACAACTCACCCACGAAAATGTAAACAAAAGAGCATAGCAAAGATGAAAAAGGCGGCGAACTTGACGAAAACAAAATTTTATCGTCTAATGTTAATATTATTATTAAAGAGGAAAGATCAAACTATTTTTGGAGTATTTTTTTTACATTTTTTTAATCGTTCCTAGCACATCTGAAATTTTCGTTAAAAATATTGTTTTTTTTTTTTTTTTTTTTTTGGTCAAAAAAAAAGGACAGATAATCAATCATTTTCATTTTTTCGATTTGATAAAAAAGATTAAAATCTTACTTTGATATTCTTTTAAAAATCAATTATCATTTTTTCAAAACTGATTTTAATAAAAACAGATATTATACTGTTTATTTAAAATATTTTGAACCAAGCTTAACTTAGCTTCTGTGCCGAAAAAATGTAATTTGAAAATAAAACAAAGCAGGTCATAACCTTTCACATCGCTTGACGATTGACGAAAGGCACATTAATGACGTTTAGATAACTTACGGGAGGGTAATTCTTTCTACGGATGGAAGGAAGTGAAATTATTTAAGTGAACAAATTATTTACCTCGTTACTTTTAAGGAAAACTTTCGGCGCTCTAATTTTTAATTTTTTTATTTTATTTTATTTTTTTGTACTTAGCTTTCATTTTTACGTTTACGATGCTTTATGGAAAATATAAAGAAATTAAAAAATAAGACTGTTAATAGTGAGATTAAATTTCATAAGAAAAAGGTATCTAATTAATTTAGGTACCTTTCTTATGAAATTTTATCAGAAAATGTACATAAAATACTATAATTTTATGTACATTTATTACATTTTACTGTGTTATTTGTATTTCCATTCATTTTATTATTAATTTTGATATTTCATTTATGGAAAAATGTCATAACTGAGATTAATATAAAAATAAGATCATATAAATTAAAGTTTTAGCAGTAGTTAAATTTCATAAGATGATACTGTTACTTGTAGGTACCCTTCTCAGTTGAAATTGAAAACTCAAATTAACTTCTCCATACGTGTTTCGCAAAAGTAAAGGGCTTAACAGCAGAGAACAATGCTGAACTCAAATAATGCAACTAAATTGTATTCTGGTTGGTCTTCCGTACTTGATAATTACTGTCCGACTATAAACACAAAAATTACATTTCTTAATTACCATGGCTAATCTGATTGGTCCAAATTATACAATTTTCAAAGCGCTAGACAATGACAATCTCACACGGACATTTTGAAAGGTTGATGTTGCATTTAACTAATGTTAAAATATTTTTTAAAATTCAATTTAAACATTTTTTAAAAATCTTTTAAAATTAAAGAAATAAGAAATAATTGTATTAAAATTCAATTTTCATTGAAAAATTTTTTGCTTCCAGAAAATATTGTCCATATTCATAAAAAACAAATTAAAACAAATAAAAGCATTTGAAACTAAATAATATATTTGTTTTATTGAGTTTCGTATGTTACAATTCACAGCTGATTTTCAGGTCCGTTGGCCAAAAAAAAACAAAAAAAAAATACATGATTTGCATTCTTCAAAGCCTTGTGCTTTTAACTATTGTAATCCCTAAAACCGATGGTCTCGAATTCCTAGAGTTTTTCATAAAATTAGTTATGGGGGTGTTAATAAATATAAAAAAAATATTTCTGCCATGACTTTAATAAAAAAAAAACATATTTATAATAATTTCGATAATCTGTGAATAGTTTCTGAAAGTTTCATTAACAACAATGTTGTTGTTGTTCCAGAAATTATAAAATGTGATTGACCAGAAGTGACAGTTGCCAGTTTTTTATGAATTTTTTCTCTATTTCAGTTGCCTGCTTAATGAAGTTAATAAAATTGGTAGTATACTCACAGTCTTTTAATTGCAGCCTCTACCTCTTCCAATTGCCACAATAATGACATGACCTTTTTTCAAAATTTAGATTTGATTCCACTAGTATTTCTTGGCATTTAGTTGTATAATGGAAGCAACTGAAAATTCCTTAAATCCTGTCATGTATAGAAATCTTGTTTTTCACCTTTTTGTCTTTTGTTTGTTACATTTGATTCTAAATGCTTACGCGTTGCTTCAAATCACCGTTTCTGTCCCTGTCTGCACAGATGAAATCTCCAATTTCAACTGAAGATTAAACATGGATATAAACTAATACAAATTTTGTTTCTTTCTATTCAAAGATGGAAAATGGCCCTCTTGGAATGCCAAGCAGAGACTATTACCTGGAAACAAGTGAAACTATCTATATAAAGGCTTACGAAGATTTCATCGTCGGAGTAGCAGAATTACTTGGCGCCAACATTAATAATACCCGGAAACAAGTGCAAGATGTTATTGAGTTTGAAACGCAACTTGCAAATGTAAGAGGTTATTTTTAATTTCTTATTTACCATTAAATATCTGTGACCTTTGGCATGCAGTAGTCAAAAGGTCAGTTGTTTATAAATAGAACTGTTATCAACTTCCAAGCATTTTTCTGGTAATCCTTGACTGGTTGTAGACATTTTCCTCTTTACCATTTTTTGAAGTTGATGACATCATTGGTAACTTTGTTTTGTGACTGGATCACTTCAGCAAAAGAAGATTTCAAACAACTTTACAAACATCCCTTCTGTAAATATTTGAAGACAGTGGAGCTATAGACAATATTAATGAAGCGAAACCTATCCGTGAAGGCTTTGTCATACAATGAAAACTATTATTAACAAAATATTAATGTCATTTAGTTAAAAGTTTAACAAGTGTAAAAAAAAAGCTTTTTTTTTATGCCCATCAAATTACAACTATTAAGTTAACTTCTCCTGGTACTCATTTTTTTGATAAGATTGAAGCTTGATCAGATTTATGTTCAAACTACTCAAGGTCAGATTACTAATATGGCAGGGATAATGATCTTCAATCAGAAGTGGTCAGTACTACTTCCTTCAGCTTCAGACTTAAACCAATGTTTAACTGGTATTTCAGCTAGATTCTAAAATTTGCTTCTTGGGTCAGAGATCTTTTGGTGTCTGTTGTGACCTTGTTAGGGCCAAAAATAAAGACAAAGAGAGGAATTGAGTTAAATATATATAAAATATATTAACAGAAACTGTAATACAAGCATATACAAACAAGAGTGTTACAGCAAGAATGTTCAATTCGACTATCAGAGCTGACTGCTGGAAACCTCCCTCTCCAAAAGGCAGTACCTGCTCCTATTTATAGCTGGGAGAGTCCATGCATGCGTGGGTAAATTATCATAACAGTGTCTCCTCTTAAACTTGTGTTGATCTTATCCTATTCAGTTCCATAACCAGAGTTTGGTCATAAAGTTTTTGTGAAGCTGAGCACCTGATCAACTCACTCAGCAATGCTTTGGTTGCATGCCAATATCTGGATTAAAAGTCAGAGAGGTATTCCGTCATGTGTAGCATGTCTTAGGAAAGAGTTCATCCCTCTCTAGTTTGACTATATATATATGCTGAGGGGAAAGTTTTCCTCTCCTTTCTCTTTCTACTGTCATTTAATTTTTTATACTAATAGTTACTCATTACTAGGCTCAAGAGCCACTCAAGGTAGAGGGTTGCTGAAGGAGGTTATTGTGTGTGCAATACGAGTAAGCAGTAAGAGACACAGTTTATGAGGATATGTGGGAAAGAGGATGGTTGACCCTAGGACTGAACAGGTTACGATTGTAGTGGTTCCACAATGTACCGGTTTGTGGGAAGAGGCTGTGTAAGTTGAACTTACTCCTTACTAATGGAATACAAAGGGAATGAGAGAGTTTTGGTTCAGTGCAAGTGGTATGGCAGGTTTTATTTGTGAGGGTTAGTGTTGGTGGAACTAAGGAATATAACTAATCTGAATATTTTCAGATCTACTTTTAACTGACTGTGAACTTGTGTGTATTTTTAATAAAAACTCTTAATGAAAAAGTCAGCCAGATGTGTTAAAATCTAGTGTAGATTTTGGCTATTGGATACTGTCTGGTGCCTCATTCCACATAATGCCTCTGGTGAGGTTTCTGTAAATGAATTGTTGTGTGAAGTAAGATGATTAGTTTGGCAACCAACCTTTCTATTATGAGGAAGAGTTGATTTTCTGTCTGGGTTTTCTTCCCTTAGATGACAACATGTTTCCACAGTAACAAGTTCCATCTATCCAGATTTGGGAATTCAGAATTTTTCCTTCTCTTAGATTAATTTCCAAACAAGCCTGAAGAGATTTTTTAACCCATAGATGGGGGTAGAAGAAATGGATTCATACATTTCCCAAGGGTATTTGTATGAAAGTGCATGGAATAAACTCAACATGAATTTGAACTTAGTTTGCTGATTTCTTCTTCTGAACCACTAACCATTATACATGCATCCAGATTTGGTCTGCATTAGCACTTTTCTTAAAGCTGTGATCAATCATTAATCTTTGAGACTACCAAATTTCTCATACAGTTCTTGTGTCATCTTAAATGAAGAAGAGTATTCATTTTTCACACTCAATTATTTTTTTATATTCTTGTGATGGTGTCCTTTTTTGTTTCTTTTAAAAACATTTATCAAAATGACTTACAAATTTGTTCCTAAAAACAGATAATGCAAGACAGACGTGGAACTGAAAATAAAAACTAATTAAATTCTCTAAACTAATTGAATGATGATTTTAAAGTTTGTAAAATAATTTTAAAATGCTAAGCTAAATAATTCTTGAATTATTGTTAACAAGCTGTCTCTACCCAGCAATTGAGTCCTACACAAAACCATCTTTTTGATTCCAATTTACTGACACTGTTTTTTTTTTGTTTTTTTTTTTTTTACTAAAGGCTGAAAGCTAAAACATATTGTTCTTTTTAATTGATTTGCGTCAACTTTTTGTTCTCATCATTAGTTTAATTATGATTTTGCAATTAGTGAATTAATTGTCTTTTTGCAAAAAATCTTCCTTTTTAATTCAATTCAAATTTATTGCATTGTCTATTTGCTTTTATATTCAAATTTTGTTTTTATTGTTATTAATTTTGAGTGAAAATTATTCAGCTTGTTCCCAGAGGAAATGGAAAAGAAGAAATTAATTTCAGGTCTGAATTTTGTTAATCTCATTTGTCCAAAGAATTCTTCCATGTTGAAATCCTATTGGTAGTTTTCCAAAAGGCAGACACTTTATTAAAAGAAAAAAAAACCCAGACATTTCAAAGGAAAAATTTCAAAAATTGTAAAATCCTGAAACATTTACAAACAAAACTTACAATTATTGTTAAATAATTGTAAGCAATTTTCAAAATGTATCAGACAAGTGACCAATGTGATTGTGTGTAATATCCAAATGAATCAGATTAGTGAGGATAATGTATAGATTAGATGAATATACTTTTTCTTAATTTTGACCATCTTTGAGTCTTCAACCAAAAAGCATTCTTTATATTTTTTTTACTTATAAATGTTTACTCAAACAAACAGCTCAGAGCCACTTAAGTTAGAGGCTTACTAAATGGGGAGGGAGAAGGGCATGCATATTATGAGGATATGTAGGATAGATAATGATTGAATGTCAAATTGAGGTTAAGATTAGAGGGATTAAGGAAATGTCCTCTTGTATCCCTGTATCACATAGGTATTTTAGTTATATTATAGTATCACATAGCTATGTTTTATATATATATATATATATATATATATATATATATATATATAGTATCCTGAGTTATATCTTAGATGTTTTGTTCTCTAACCAAGGAGAAAAGAAATTGGTTCAAGATAATAGATGAATAAGATGTGTAAAACAATATTTGGCTTCCTCTATTTTACAAGCACCTTTTGAGAATATATTTTATTGAATACACTCTTTCTTTGCAATTCGTATTGCTTCTATTGTGATACTATGGACACCCACATAGAAAAGGAGGAGATGGTTTTATTTCAAGTGTTTCTGTTTGATAGACCAGTGGGTGTGGTTCCTTTTGAAGTAAGGTCTTCTAAGTGGCATCCACTTTAACCAAAGGTTAACCAAAGAGATTTTCAAAGATCAAGTGGCAAAAAAACGGAAATAGGTTATATCCAGCTGCTGATCCATTTTTTTATTGCTAGCCATCAGATTGGGATGAGTAGATGATCAAGGAGTTGGTATGGGGAAGAGCTGACATAGTAGATGTCCCAAGTATCACCTACCTACTCATGCACATGAGCAGGTAAAGCCCTGAATAAAACACCTACTTATATTATGGCAAAACAAGGTTTTACATTTTTATTTCTCCATATTGCATTTGTCTTTCATTGTGTTATCTTGTGAGCATGCAGCATGTCCTTCTCTGGCTTTTTTTGCACACCAATGTGACTGAGAATCTGGATGCAATGTCAGGTAATCATTGGCTAGTCAGTGGAAAGCCTAGGCTATGGTTATGTTGTATATTTACACTATAATTGTTTATCTTACAAGCAAATACATTTGGTTTATTCTTCCCAATATCAGAATTGGCTGTTAGCATTAGAGTTGAAGAATATTTACCATTCCTCTGCTGCATTGGTTTAATAAACATTTACATAAAGAAAAATATGGAATGAACAGAAACTCTTCAAAGCACTTATTTTATTAATTTATAAAAAACTTTTTTTTAAAAAAGGCAGTCCTAATGACACGATTTTTTTTCTTATAAGCAACTTGTTTACCAGCAGCTGTACTGAAATTTGACTAAATCTTAAGCAATTTCACTACTGACGTCAGTGTGACTTATGTAACTAAAAAAAAAAAAAAGAAAAAACCTAAAATTAATGAAATAGTAGGAATTCTACCAAGTTTATTAGTTTAGTTCCATGGAATTGTTTTCCTATTCTATTTATTGGATCCAAGTATAGAAAATGTAAATAAAAATTAAAATTGAGGAATAAATCTTGTGTTACTTGTGTACTGGTGCAGATGTTTATAAAATAAATTGTGTAATGCTTGATACTAGATACTACTGAAACAGAAAAACAACTCTTCATATAAACAAAGTTTCTTTACATTAAATGTAAATGTTAACCTTGGTAAAAGATCTAGATTTTAAACTCAGGAAGCTGAAAAATGTTGTCAGATGATAGTTAAGGAAATTCATTGCAAAAAAAAAAAAATAGTTCATCATATTTTTAATTTGTTTTTATAGACCAGTTGTACATTTTTCTTCTATGCTTTTCATGCAACTACTTCATTATCCTGCAATGTGATTAAAAGTAACTAATTTTTGTTTTTAATTATTTACCTTCTGACTGTAGAACATCCTTCCTCTCTGAACTGAGTTAAAGAAATAACTTTCTAATATTTCTATCAATTTTTCCCAAGCAGTTTTCTTTCAATGCATTGATCAGATATCAAGATGCTTTATTGTAAATCTGTGATTAATAAGCAATTATAACCATTGTTCTCATTAGGGGTATTTAGAATCTTTTACATATAGATCTATAATGCAAATGTCTTTCATAGCATTAGTGTCATTTTCTCTTTTCACTGACATGTATTATAATAATCCAATGGGCTCTATGATAACCAAAGTGAAAGGATCTTGTGGAATTTGAGATCTGTACATTTTCCAAAGTTATTCATCTAAAAATGGTTTTCCAGCTATAATTTCAATTCTTTCACCACTTCTTTTGCATTGCAACTAAAAGCTGAGTTTCAATTTCTATATTTTAAAAATTATTTACTGCAATATAAATAATAATACACAAAGCTATTTACAGGATTAAAAGTTAATTGCCAGACATCTGTCTACAAAATGAACAGAGTGACTTTTTTTACTTTTTGTGTCTTTGCTGTTCCTTTGTTTCTATGATTCGTTATCTTCAAATAGATATATTAATTTAAAATAAAACTTTCTCGGATTTGAACATCTGACCTAAAACTAAGCAAGCTTACATCATGTCCTCTACACTAGATTTCTGCTGCTTGAACAGCACAGTAAAATTAACTTGCAAATACTGAGTTTGGCAGAGTGCACTGTTACTATACTGACCCTAGGCAGATGGCCAAGATGTGACATTTTGATTCTACGCTGAGTGCACAGATACGAACAGATCCTAAGCAGATGGTCAAGATGTGACATTTTGATTCTAGGCTGAGTGCACAGATACGAACAGATCCTAAGCAGATGGTCAAGATGTGACATTTTGATTCTAGGCTGAGTGCACAGATACTAACAGATCCTAGGCAGATGGTCAAGATGTGACATTTTGATTCTAGGCTGAGTGCACAGATACTAACAGATCCTAGGCAGATGGTCAAGATGTGACATTCTGATTCTAGGCTGAGTGCACAGATACTAACAGATCCTAGGCAGATGGTCAAGATGTGACATTCTGATTCTAGGCTGAGTGCACAGATACTAACAGATCCTAGGCAGATGGTCAAGATGTGACATTCTGATTCTAGGCTGAGTGCACAGATACTAACAGATCCTAGGCAGATAGTCAAGATGTGACATTCTGATTCTAGGCTGAGTGCACAGATACTAACAGATCCTAGGCAGATGGTCAAGATGTGACATTCTGATTCTAGGCTGAGTGCACAGATACTAACAGATCCTAGGCAGTTCATATGAAGAATTACTGAATTTGACTTTTGGGTATTTTTTTTTTTTTATCAAAGTTATAAAAAATGAAAAATATCAAATTCATCTATCTATATATAAAATTCTGTGACTTCTGTTAGTCCATCGGTCTGTTCATCACACCCTCTAAAATAGCCATACATTGATCGATCGAATCCAACTCTTGGGGTGATGTGCAAATAGTAAGAGGGTACAAAGTACAGTTTGCTTTACTAGGGTGCATAGCTAATATGATAAATTCATCATTAATTTTGGGGGAAAAAATGAAAAGTATTATTTAACACACAAAATACTCTTACTATTTTAAAAACAATTTAATGATTAAAATAAATATTTATTTAATAAAAATACGATATTGTTTTTCCATATTTTTCTTTAGGTGTTTATATACAAGAATCCAGTTTATGTTTGTGAGAACTATAAACAGATCACAAGGCCAGACACTTTAAAATGTTGCAATTTGACTCCAGAAAGAAATATTTATGCATAGCCATTTGTATGCTGCATGCTCAAGAGTAAAAAATCCTAAGAATGTATTCTTTGCTGTTGAAAAGGAAAGAAATAAATTTTCGTAAAAAATATTGTTTACCATAAAGTCCTAGAAAAATAAATTAAAAAATTATTAAACCATAGAGTAGGGTTTTGTCAAAGTACTTTTTCAATTAAATCAGCTTATTCATAGAGTAGAGTTTGTAAATCTTAACAAAAAATGTTAGCAATAACTTCAACAATACTAAATACTGTGAGCATTTCTACATGTGTCAGTGTTTTTCAAAAAAATTCTAGTAACTTTCCTAAATAAGTTTGTTAATGACTTCTCTTTCTATTTTACACAAATCCTAAACACAACATATATTTGATAGCTTTCTTTTTCATCTTTTTCATAATTTTGATTTGTGGTCAAAACTACATTGTCTTATTTTTCTTGGAAGGAAAATTCATTTCTTTGCCATATTAATGATGGAAACAATTTATTAGCCATTATTCTTATAAATATTTTAGATTTGATCAAAGTGAAAATTTTGAAGAAGTTCTGGAAAAAAAACAAAACCATTTAGATTAAATGAACTACATATTTAAGTTCAATGCTATAACTAGCCTTGCAAATAAAGTAAAAACCCTCCTTTGTATTTTATGAATGTTTTTAATATAAAAGTAGACAAAAAACATCTAAATTTTGCCATGGCATTGATTTATAAATGCCTCTCCAGCTATGGAATCACTGGAGGAGCCTTTTTAATTATCCTTTCAAACATGTAGGTCCCTGAGGTATTTGTTAATGGCCAGTAGACAGTGGACTCAGGAAGATAAATTTCTCAAAGCAAATTAGGTAACCATTCCTTGAAAGACAATTACAAAATCAAACTTTTAAAAACAGTGCCTGATGTCTATGTTTTGACTGCAAACTGATGGGGTGGGGGGGAAGCATAAAGTTATCCGATTCTGGTGTTCTTTTAGGAACATAAACCAAATTAGAATTCAATTTATTTCAAACAGTCCATCCAAAAAAACTCAATTTGAACTTTCTGAAACATTTTCTTCTGCCAAGTTATTTTTTATTACAAAGATGTTCACCTTGTATAATGCCCAAGAGCTACTCAAGTTAGAGCATTACAGAGTAAGAGGCACAGATTATGGGTATAGGTAGAAGAGACATCAGTTAACTCTAGACCTGAAAAAGTTAAGCTTGGAGGGATTAAGGAAGTATTCTTGGGTTATCTCAAAGCTGCAATGAAATCAACCTTTGTGCATTTATTTGAAAGTCTCGTGTTGGAGCCAATTCCAGGGCAGTTGTAAATAAATAAAAGGAAGAGATGCAGTTTGGAGATAAAGCATGTGTAGGAAGATACAGTTTCAAATAAACATAAATTGTTTGTTACTTAAAGTAGCAAAGATGATAGTGATATAAAAATAACCCCACAAAGGTAACGGCAAATGCATCATTGGTGATGACGTAAGTAAAATAAGTTTTCAGATCAGTATTTATTTAGTTTTTTTTTTTTTTTTTTAATTAGAGAACCAAGTGAAGATAATACTGGGATTATAGTTAGATTTCTTCAGAATACAGGAAAGAATCTGTATAATTTGGGGCAAAAGAACATTTTGCATTGTTTAACCTTTTCCTCTGTAAAAAAAAAAAAAAAAACTGTCAATAGGAAGGTTATTCCTTCGATACAACTATTACTGTATACACTTTTTACTCCCTTGGCAATGCTCATTTGCAAAATTATAAAAATACATGAACCAAGTTAAATGCAATATTTATTATTTACATTTTATAAAGAAATAAATACAAAAAGAAATATTTCTGTTCAAAAATTTATAAAAAAAATTACAAAATTATTAAAATATATAAACCAAATACAATGCAATATTCATTATTTACCACTTGATAAATAATGATTAAAACAAGTGTTTTTTTTTAATTATTTTATACAAATATCAATGAACTTTGAGAACAAGTATTTTATTTCTTTTAAAACAATGAACATATCCGAGGGAGTCAAAAGTGTATACAGTCATAGCAGTGTCAAGAAAATAAATGTCCTGTTAACACTGTTTTTTCTTGTGGACACAGTTAAAGATTTCTGAAGATTAATTCTACTTTTTAAATGATATCTCAGATTGTTTCATTTAAAATAAAGAAAAAATCTAGAAGTGGCTTTGTAGCTAAGCAACATGAAGCCTGATCAGTACTTGGGTGACTGCTTGGGAATATCATCTGCTTGAATGTGTAGCTGGTGTAATGTATAACAGCTCAGAATTGGAAATCAGAGAGCTGAGTTCCAATTACATTCATTATAGTTACTTATGTGCATTCATTATAGTTACTTATGTGCAAATACTTTTGGGAAAGGTATGAATCCAACTCTTCTCCCCCCACCTCCAGTGTTAATTATTAAGACTTGTATTAGAAAACCTTCATTATCTAAAAAAATGAAAATTCCTACTATCCAAAAATATGTTCTGGCTTTAAATAACCTGAAAAGGTTTCCATAATTCATAGAAAATGAATGAATCAATCTTGAAGTGGTTTTTGAATTTGTGGGTCAATAATAAAATAAAGCAAAAGTTTCTTTGCATGATGAATGAAGGAAATCAAAATGACTACAATGTGGATTGGAAACATTTCTAGATCCAAATTTAATCTCATTCAATAATTGCTTCTTTGTTTTTTTTTCTGGACCTGCAACAATGTAGCGCTTGAAATCTTTTCAAAAAAAAACAAAATAAATAATAACAATTAATTGAAACTGCTTAAATTTGGATAAGATTTTTTTTTGTTTTCTAAAAAAATATGAAATCTTCACTTGATGTTGAAAGTCTTTTGCATAAATTAGAACCAAAATATTTATATATTGGTCTCAGAAAACAAGAATTATCTTGTAGCATTGGACAGTGACTGAAATTCTAGAATTTCTTTATCCAAATTATTAAAAGCAGAGAAAAAAAAAGAATTTGTCTGGAATCAGTGCAGGAAGAGTTTTCTGAAAAGCATAAATGGATTTATAGTTTGCTTTTTTTTCTTTTCTAATTTTTATTTCTTGTCTGTATTTCACAGATTACAATCCCAGCTGAAGAAAGACACGATGTTGAGCGACTTTATACCAAATTGTCAGTCCAACAACTGAAAAGATTGTCTCCTGGGGTAAGTGTCTTTTTATTTCCTACATAATGTTTGCATCATTTACTCTTTTTTTTTACCAGTATTGCATTAAATGTCTAATTTATGTTCATCTATGAAAAGCATAAATGTTTGAAGAGGCAACAACTCATCTAGCCACAGACCAACAGAGAAAATAATAGTTGATCATTATTAAAATTGTTCTTTTACAATGTCTACTAAAACATAATCCTATTTCTATTATGCCACATTTTATAATATATTGGGTTGTCACACATGGAATGATGCAGTTTTTGGTTGGTTGTTGATCTGGTCGTCTAACAAAGTAACCTCTTTAGTTATATAAAAACATCTTGACTTATTCCTTTTTCTTTCCAGATAATTTTTCTTTTGATATATTGTATACTCATAAGCCCAATAAAAATGATTACAATTAAACAATGTCAAGTAATCTTACTGTGTGACGGTTACACACCTGGCCCAGTGTCGGATCCTTTGGTTACGGCGCCAACGGTGACGTCGCTCCTCCTGGTCGCTTCTCCTGGGTCCAAGCGTGCCACTCCAACCCTTTGGTCAGATGATCACCAGCCTCGCCTTTCCCGACTCGCTTCCAATACCTGGTCACTAAAGCAACTATACCGATCTCCGGTCTGTCTACCCACGCTGTGTTTAGATCTTAGACAGACGGGACCAGCAGGGATCAAATACAAGTTGAGTCCGACGGGGTGGCAAAACACAAATAAAATAAAAACTCACGACACCAAACAAAATTGCTGATAAAAAAGGGTAACAACCTTTTATATCTTAAAGTCCGTTACATAAAAACAAAATTGTTCTCAATTCCCGACCCGCTCTGTGGACTATGGCACCAAGCTTCTATCACACAATAGGAAAATGTCGAATTACCTACTTTCTAGAATCATGTATGTATGTCGGAGTGTGGTTCAGTTCGACACTGGGGCTAATTTCTATCGATCATTCGCAGTTGATTCTTCTCTCCGACTTGAGTTGTATTTCTTCTTCTTCTTCTACTTGGGCTGGAAGTTCTTCTTGTCTGAGGGTTCTTTTCTCGCTGCCGTCCGGGGATGAACTTTAACTTCTCATCGACTTTCGGCTTGTCTGCAGCTCCAATTTTTCTCTCAGGCTTTCAGGCAATCTTCTTCTTCGTCTACTTGGGCTGGAAGTTCTTCTTGTCTGAGGTTCTTTTCTCGCTGCCGTCCGGGGATGAACTGATTTTTGTCGATTGGGGCCCTGCTTTTTATTGACGCCGCAACAAACCGGGCGGTCCGTCGGGCGTCAGGGCCCTCTCGATAATTCCAAAACTGCATTAATTCTGTCTTCTCCATTATCGCTATTGTTTTCGCCCCTACTTCCTCAGTAGTACCTTTGGTGGGGCGGCGCATCCATCTCTCTTAGTCTCTCGTATGTCAGGTGACCGCTTTTCAACCAATCGTTCCCTGATCGAGCATTTCTTTCCCTTTTCTTCCGCAGGTCACGTGATCGTATTCGACCAATTGTTATTGATCAAACATTTCTTTCCCTTTTCTTCCGCAGGTCACGTGATCGTATTCGACCAATTGTTATTGATCGAACATCCTCTCCCCTCTGTTTGCGGGCGTGGTTACATCGTTCTTGTTTAAAAAAAAAAAATCCAATTTTGCCCCTTTTTGCACGTCGCAAAATGACAATCTTTGGCTTTCTCTCACCTGGACTTTTGTCAAACAGCCCGCTGCTAATTAGTCTTGACTTTAGAAAGGATCTTTTCCGCCTTCTTGGCGCCCTCTGTGAGCCAAAAAAGCAATTGTCCCTCTTTTTACCTCTTTGTTTTACCTGATAGTCGAAAATCTTAATTATCTACATTGAAATGTCTCTACTTTATTAACGTGGGTGTCCAATTCTTAACAGGTCTGTATATCGTTCCACCGGTCCTCCCCTCAACCCAAAGACACTTTTTCTCTGATTAAAATTGTTTCATTGTTCCCAAAATTTCTCTTTATCCAAATTGATAAGGTGTCTTTCCATGCAAAAGTAGGCTAGGTGCTCTGACCGACATTCTTACCAAAATGACTTTCGAAAATCGGCCAAGACGCTGACCTAAATCTCTTTCTGACTCCTATCTCCACCCTCAATTGGGTCATCGTCATACATTTCTCTTTCTTTCTTTTTCTTCCCTTCCTTCCTTTTTCCTTTCTTTCCTTCTTCTTTCCTTAGGATCGTCTAGTACACTCTTAGTGAATTATTTTCAACTCAGTTATTTTCCGTTTAAAAAAAAAAAAAAATTAACAACCTGTTTAGTAACCGAGTAAGAAAAAAATTAAATCATATTTCTATGAATATTTCTAATAATGCAAGGTGCCACAATCCTCCCCTAACCGATTTGTCATTTACCCGTAAATGACACCTAAACCCAATTACATCATTTAACATGCACCATGCATTTGTCTCATGCACTTCTATTCTACTTTCTAACATGCAAGGGTAATGTTCTTTCCATTTTCTTTTTGTTCTACATGCAATGAAATGTTCTTTTCATTTTCTTTTGTTCTACATGCAATGAAATGTTCTTTTCATTTTCTTTTTGTTCTACAGGCAATGTAATGTTCCTTTCATTTTCTTCTGTTCTACATGCAATGAAATGTTCTTTTCATTTTCTTCTGTTCTACATGCAATGAAATGTTCTTTTCATTTTCTTTTGTTCTACATGCAATGTAATGTTCTTTTCATTTTCTTCTGTTCTACATGCAATGAAATGTTCTTTTCATTTTCTTCTGTTCTACATGCAATGAAATGTGTGCGTGTGTCTGTAGGTGCAGATATGTTCATTAGGGTTTGTTCTTCTTGGTCAATGTTTTCCTCTCTGCTGTGGGAGGTTTTTCCGCAGCACATGGTGGTCTCACGCCAGCCTCCTCCATTGGTCTTCCAGCAATTTCTTCGCCAGTCCTGTCTGAGTGAGGAACACCGCTCGGCATCTCCCTCTCGAGTTGTTGCATGCTCACTAGACTGTCGTTACTAATCTTCTCTTACTCTTAATCTTCCATATTATTACACCCCCCGAGGGCTATAACTAGGAATGTACCCATTACTATTGACCAACTTATCGCGATCTGCTCATCGTCTTCCCAAGCTACACCTTCGTCTCCCAACGCACTTAACTTATCCCTTAAGTGATCCATATCGATCTTTTCTATTGGCTTCATTAATACTGGCATCTTATTTAAGGTGACATTAGAGAATCTCTTTACTATCGGCTCCCATAATTCTGTACAATTGACTAAGCCTCTACCAATCATCTCTATGAGTGAATCTTTTCTTCATACCTTTCTTCCATCTGGTAATAGGGGGCAAGGAGATGGACACCCCAACCGCCGAACATCCCATGGGTAGCGACACCAGGGATAACGGTGGCCTTATTCTTAATGTCCTTGTGGACTCTCCCCACATACCCTAGACAGGCTGATATGTTTCTGGGTGGCTACTGCCCACACCCGTCTGAAACACTGATAGCTTGTGGTAATGCCGAGTTTGTTAATACCTCCACTTGGCAGATTCTTTTGATTCCTTCTCCCCTCCTTCAAACAATTCTAGTATGCACAGTTTGCGGTTACCAGTTTTATAGATAGGGCTCAACGAGGTACAAGTCCCCAGGGTATCATCTCTACACCTTCTAGCTTCTTCAGCTGATAGCAACATGAATTTCGTTCTCCCCGAATTTAATGCTATGTAGTCTGCTTCCACCTTGTACCTTGCTATCATTCCTGAAAGATAACAAATTCTCTTGTTGTTATTCTTCACAATCACTTAGTCTCGCTCGACTCATCACTCAATCATTTCATAACTTTTCTCTTAGTTCGGCTCTTCCCTCCTCTAACTAACCCCTAGCAGACAGAATGGTCTGGTCAGGTGTGCGTGGCGCCCACTCTAAAGGTCGTACTTCACGACACCACTGGTGGCCAATCAATAATGCCCATGATCTTCCGTTCCTCGTGAGGTGCAGCCCGCATCTCCATCCCCTCCACTCACATCTACCATAGTCAGCCAATAGGATCTTGGATGAGCCAGTGTCGTTATCTGTTGACACTAGATTTGGGGTTCTTCTCCTCCTGATCTCATCTTCTGAGGTGATTCCTGTTCAATCTCTAACCTTCTTTCTGTGTTTAACTCTCGTCCAGGAGGTTTTTTTTCCTCTTCTTCATCCCCTGATTCTTCTTCCTGTTTAGAGTCTTCACCTTGAATGTCTTCGATACCTCTCGACTCTATGTGTAAACTTCTCCTGTTCTTTATCCTTTCCTTGCTGGGAAAGGGTATTTGATCCTCCTCCTCCCACTCGCTGGACCCTTCGTCTTGTTCAGGGTGCCTCCTTTTAGAGCCTTCGACTGCTTGATTGGACCTCTTCGTCTTTCTCTTTCTTTCCTTCGGACATGGGGTGTGATGGCGATCTCACGGGGTCTTCTCTGCACTGATTCAGTCGACGACTGAACATCGCTAATCCCCGCTGAGGGTTCCAACTCTGTCACTCGGACTGCTTCGTTTATCTGGTCAAGTTGACCTATCTCCTCATCTTCTTCGGAGTCTTCCTCCGTCTCCATTCCTTCCGGTTCAACCAGAGTTACCTTCCTTTTCCTTGTCTTCTTAGGCCTCGCTCGCTCATTTCTAGGTTAGCTATTTCAGCCTTCTTCAGATCATTGGCATGAACCTCTCCTCGCTCGTCCTGCCACTTGATCCCATATTACATACGATACTGGGCCCGTCTGCTCTACTATCCGGTAGTACGGCTCCCATCTCTGGTCCAGCTTTCCTTCTCTCTGGTGGATTTTATAGTAGACAGGGTCTCCAACCTTCAATTCTACCACCTTTCTTTCAGCATTCACCCTCTCATTTCTTTTCTTCTGGGCCCTCTTTATTCTTCTTCTGGCCTGTACGAATATCTTATGTTGCTGTTCCAGCAATAGTTGATGATGATCTTCTCCCATATACCTTCTTCTTCGGGCTTCAGTAGGTTATCTACAGGCAGGACCACGTCTCTG